GTGGCTGGCGCCTTAGCCACTTAAGCCGCAGGCGCCGAGCCACTAATTTTGTTTTTTAAGCAAAATTTCTGCTTTAGAGGTCAGGGTGCTGTCGCCCAGAATCACGAGTCAGCCCCTTCGGGCGCCGCGAGGTCAGGGCCACAAGGGGGTGCTACTGCACCGCGCTCGCCGAGCGTCTCTGCAGCCTCGCCGGAGCCGGAGCCGGAGGTCTGCGGGTACCGGCCGAGGCAGCGGCCCGGTCCTTCACATCCGTGGAATGTTTGCAAAGAGATCCCGGCGACACTGTGGCAGGTGAGCCTCCGAGGGTGCTGGGAGCGGCGGGCCCCAGGGAGCACCAAGGCCGCTCTCCGGAGGGCGGTCCGGACGCGGTGCAGCGCAGAGCGGGCGGAGGGCCGGGATGTCCCCCCCAGGGCGGCGGCCTGCAGGGGGCGCCACGCGGCTCTGCAGAGCTCGTTCCTCTCCGCGAAAACAGGAAGCTGGGCGGGAGCGCGCTGGCTCCGCCGGGGAACCTGCCAAAATAGCGAGACTGTCCCCAGGGAATGGGAAAGGGAGCGCTGTCCCCCCGACCTCGATGGGCGCTTAGTTGGAACGAGACTCTGGGGAAGGGGATTTACTTCGGTGTCTTCGTCTGTTGCAAGAGGGCCGAAGGCCAGAAGTGGAGCATGGGAGGGTTAACCCTTGCTCCGCAGTCTGAGTGTGGAGGGAAGCTCTGTCTTGATCCAGGGAGTGGGAGGGAGATGGGGAAATTGGCTGAAAGGAGCGCTTAGGAGGTCTTTGGGAGGTAACAGGTCTGTGGAGTTTCCCAGGATGGCCTCCTTCCCATCTGCGTCCACGTGGACCGTTGTGGGGGCAGCCCTGAGGAGGACTACTCTGGACACTGGGAAGAATGGTTGTGCAAAGCTCAGTCAGGCAGGTAGCTTCACCGTCCCACTATTGCTATGAGCTTTGTGGCCTCAGTTCCCCTTCTGTCCAGTTGCTTAAATTAGCTCTGTCCCAGTCCTAGGTCCTTTCTGCCCCTCTCACTCCCTAGTGGTTCCCAGAGGCAAACAGCTGAGATTGTCTCTTCTGTGCCTGGCCCTGTGCTGTCACCGGGAAGTGATCCAGACAGCATTAGACCCTCCTATCCCTCACCATCTGGTAGGGCAGACAGGCTGCCACTAGATAGTGGCAACCTAGAATAGGTCAGGTTGAGGATGGGGGGGGGCACAGACACTGAGGGGTCAAGGCCCAGACAGAACCACAGAGGCTGTAGGACCCAAGGTGCTCCTGACTTAGTCTGAAGGGTCAAAGGATTTAAACCTGGGTTAAGGGCTACACAGTGCCTCTTACCTGCAATCCCAGAACTGTGGGATGTGCAAGAGGGTGGATTGCTTAAGCTCAGGAGTTTAAGACCAGCTTGAGCAATAGTGAGACCCTATCTCTACTAAAAATAGAAAAATTAGCCAGGCGCCTGTAGGCCCAGCTACTTGGGAGGCTGAGGCAAGAGGAGCACTTGAGCCCAAGAGTTCGAGGTTGCTGTGAGCTATGACACCACCGCACTCTACTAAGGGTG